CTTTGGATTAGGCATGGTATTAAAATCCAACTAAAATATGGAAGCTAGATGCTTGACGTTCCACAAGGTACTACACGTAGTGACGTGGAGATGAGACCCTGGAGTCTTTCAGAGCTGTTAAACCTGTTCTGTATAGGGAGTCATTCACGATTGCCATGCCTTTGATTTTGAGTGAGTGAATTTGTTGTGCCTTTGGCAATTAAAAGAACAAATGGTAAGTAGTGCCCATCATCAAATCAGATATTTACAACTTCAGCAGAAATGAATGGGGAAGCCCTGGTAATACAGTCATGTTGGAGGAACCAATTGAATGTCCCAGGTAGAACAGAGCGGTCTCTCCTTGGATGATCTTCCAGTTTCTCATTCCATTGCAGGGATTTTTATAACATATGATAACAAATTGTAACCACCAATAAAAATAGTTTAACCTTCTAGCTGTTCTCAAGAGTGCAATGCTTTCAGTGCCTTAGCTGTTGTTATGTTTCTTTCTTTGGTCATAGATGGAGGGAGTCAGCCTGCCCCAGCTAAGGGTCTTGATGGCACTGGTGATAACCCTGCTTTAGTCTGTGATTAGGGGTTCTGTCTTTGCTTTCAGGAAGGAAACTGATGAAAAACCTTAGAGGTGAGCACACTGTGGGCGATGTTTAAAACTGTGTGGACTGGAGTTAGCTTTATTGCTCATGCCTATCCTTTGGTCATGGCTATCCTTCAAATTTTTTAGCAGAACTAATCTAATTAAAATGATAAAAATGTAAGAAAAGGCTAATGGATAGTTTTGAAACCGTCTTAATATTTGCTCATATCATGTAGATCAACAATTTCAGGGTTACCTAAGGAACTTGCTGAATTATCTGGAGACTAGAAATGACTGGAATCTGTTTTAAGAAACCTTTTAGGTATGTCTAATACTCAGCACAGTTTAATAAGTACATAATTCTCTCAAAATGTCTGGAGAAAATAATTTGGAAACATACTCTTTCAGGATGTTGCAAGGTGTTGGTGTTATATTACTATCCCTTTTCACTGTGTAACCTGTTGGTGCCTCTAAAGCAGTGGGGTGAAACATCTGGTACGCCATTTCACTTAAATGCACAAATGACAGACATAGGACAGTTATGCTGATTGAAGATTTAGCATTTTAATGAAAACAAAATAATTTTTCCCCAATAAGGTTTAAGATTTTAAGCGAAATTAAAATTTTGGGAAAAGTGTGTCTACCATCATAAAATTGATAGCTTATCAGCATTTGCATATTCTAACATAGTTGTTGGAGATAGTAATATGAGTTAAGTTTTGTATAGTAATCTAAATTTGGAGTATCTAAATAACTGAATGAATAGCTGTTTTCCAGTTTACAAATACATGATATTACCGAAGGATGTGAGAGTCAGAGACTCAAAGTGAATTCTAGGGAGGTTTATGAAAGAGAGGATGGCAAGATTCTACTCTTTTGTATTCATTATTGTTAAAATTTACATTGGTTACATTTGAAGTTACTTATTTGTAACATGATAAGCTTATTATTTTACTATGCAAAAATTATATTCACAGTTTCTAATACAGTTTTAACTTCTAATATGTCTTTCATTCAAGAACACTTGATAGATATGGTTTCATTGTCATTTTTGAGATGGGAAGAGTCATACTAAGCACAGTCATCTTACAATTGTAGGACAGAGTCTAAGACCTTGGAGTCTCTAGCTCTAGAACCAGTACTTGTAAACGAAAACTGCATATTCATTTCCAGTCCACCCAGACCCAAATAATCACACAGAAACTATATTAATTACATTGTTTGACCAATGGCTTAGGTCTGTTCCTACTTAGCTCTTACACTTTAAGTTTACCCATTTCCTTTTTTTCTTTTTTTACTTTTTTGTTGTTTTTATTGAGCTATACAGTTTTCTTTGCTCCCCTCCCTTCCTCCCCCTCCCTTCTTCCCCTTCCCCTTCTACCTTCTCCTGTGACCTCCAAACTACAAATTTGCAGGCAGATGGATGGATCTAGATATAACCATATTGAGTGAGGTAACCCAGACCCAGAAATTAACCCATTTCTATTAATGTGTATTGCCGCAAAGCTGTTACTTCCTTCGGAGGCTCAATGGAGGAGGCTCTTGGCTGTCGCCCTCTAGCTCTGTTTGAATTTCCCATCTGGCTATACTCTGCTACGCCATTGGGTGAAGCCGCTAATTTATTCATCAACCAATAAAAAACAGCACTGACAGAAGACCATCCCACATCAAGTACTCTTTAGTTTTATAGCTTAGTGCATTTCCATGTTTGACTTATATCATGTAGATAGGCTTAATAAGAAATAAAACAGGGCTGATGATGAGGTGTCTCAGTTAAGTGCTTGCTGTGCAAGCTTGATGGCCTGTATTTGATCACAGGAGCGTAAAGGTGGAAGGAAGAAATGATTCCACAGAGGTGTCCCTCCCATATTTCTCTCAGTCTCTGTCTCCCCCCCCCCAATTTTAGAAATTAATCTTTAAAAAAATCTCAACATCAGCCGGGCATTGGTGGTGCACGCCTTTTTAAATATATAAATACATTCTGTTCAGTCTGTTACCTGTATGGACTAGGATCTCAGTGTTTATTCCAACTGTCCCCAGTCCAATCATGAGAGCTGTTCTATTTCCTCTTCCCAGGGATGTCCATGCATTCTGTTGGAGCCCTCCTTGTTATTTAGCCTTTCTGGGTCTATGGATTATAACATGATTATCCTTTACTTTATAGCTAATTAATGTCCACTTATATGAGTTTGTCTTTCTAGGTCAGGGTTATCTCGCTCATCCTGATTTTTTTTTTCTAGTTCTGTCCATTTAACTGCACATTTAAGATGTCATTTTTTAAATAGCTAAATAAAACTCCATTGTGTAAATGTATCTTGGTTGTTTCCAGTTTCTGGCTATTATGAATAAAGCTTCTGTAAATATAGTTCAGCAAATGTCTTTGTGGTAGGACTGGGTGTCCTTTGGGTTTATGCCTAGGAGTGTTATATGTATCTTACATCATTCAGAATGGTCTAAGATTAAAAACACAAGCTGACAACTGGTGATGGCTAGGATGAGGAGTAAGGGAAACACTCCTCCATTGCTGGTGGAAGTATAGCTACTTTAGAAATCAATATGATGGTTCCTTAGAAAATTGGCACTTGAGCTATAATGTTATATTTATTGATACTGTGTTATGTTTCAATACATGTATACATTGTATAATGTTCAAATCAGAGTAATGTAATACAGTCTTAATCAATTGCCATTGCTTTTTGGTGAAAATATTCAAGATCCTTGTGTTTTATTTTGTTTTGTTTTGTTTTGCAACATACAGTCATTTTTTTTTTATAGTCACTTTACTGTATAGTAAAACATCAACTCATTACTCCCTCTTTTAGTACCCAGGGATGCTAGGTCATTTTGAAGTATTTTACTAGGCCTTTTAAAAATAATTTCTTAAAAAAATCTTAGATTCTGATCCTTGTTTTGGTAATTATTTTTGACATATTATGCTTTGTGTTTAAATATTTAAATCTGGACGTTCCATTTGGTTTATATCAGTTGGAAGTTGATTTTTAGAGCCATTGAGAACTTTGTGATATTAATAGATGGACTCTATTTTCTTTATTATAAATGTTTCAGTAGTAGTTTTGAGATATTAATTTTTTTTCTTTTTTCTGCTATTATAGACACACCTTTACACGTTGAGCAGTTAGTAGCCTGCATGATGATAAAGCCATTGTTCTTTCTTTAACTTTAAACTGTGTGTCTGGCACCGTTTTTTTCACTTGGCTCACTTCTGTATGTTTGTATGGGCATTTTTATTTTCTTGTCTTTAATGTGCTGCTTTTTAAAGGTGTACACCAAGGATCTTCATTTCTTGAGTGTTTGGTGATTATTATTCTTTACATAAATGCATCAACACGGAGGGATACGTAATTTAAAACTATTTGACATAGACTCATGACGTACCATTTGCTCATCTTTTTATGGAATACTTGTTAATATAATAATCACTTTTGTATATTTAGTATGTGAATCATAATCAGTCTAGTTAGACTGTTATTACATGTGGTGGATAGGATCCTTAGAGGGAATTGTATTATATTTCTCTTAACTACATATCCTTTCATTAGCACTATAGACAAATAACAGCCCTATAAGATTAATTTTACTGGTGTAAAACAAGGAACCCAAACCTATTTCAAGTTTGTTTTTGTGTGTATGTATGTGCATGTGTGCAGTTTTATTTATACTTTGAATATAGGTCCTTTGTAGCCAATTGCTTGAGAGTGTGTTTTAATGCACTCATTTGGTACAGAGGACGTATGCAAAAATGTGAATCATAAAAACAAAATTAATTTAGAAATTTGATTTCAGAATAGCTAGGCTTATAAATAGTTTCTTAAGGGACTCTATGTGATGTGACTTTATGATCTAGTGTTTCTGCTGCCATTAAGTGGAATAGTGGAGTACACAGGGGAAATCTTGAGGGGCTTTTAACAATCCTGGATGAAAGCAAAGAGTCCGTTTTCATTTCCTTGTCTTTCATTGTAGAGGATTTGTGGATGACTGGGGTAAGTCCAAATCCCTCTTGGTGTGTCTCAACTAACTATAAGAAAAGATAAACTCTACACACACAGCAGGTTCTGATTTCTCTTCCAGGAAGCTTGCTCTTCTAATTTTAAAATTTAAGAAGAAAGATAGTCTTCTTCAGTTCACTTCATTGAGTAGACTCTATAAAATAATATTATTTATAAGAAAGATCTGTTTCTATTTTCCATGTGAACACTGACCTCAAATTGGCTGTGTAGCTAAGGATGACCTTTAACTGCTGTTTCTCCTGCCTCTACTTCCCAAGTACTGGGATTACAGTGGACACTGCCATATTTGCCTAAGACCTATGTTTCTTTACACTCTGAAATCGTGTATATACATACACATGCACACGTGCACAAACATACATACACACTATCCAAACTATAACTTTTTGTCCCTTTAGAGGTGAAGATGACATCAATGACGTGACTTGCATGGCAGAGGTCAACCTTGATGAAGAAAATGCCTGCATCTTAGCAACACATACTGAATTTGTTGGCACACTCATTCAGTCATGCAAAGAAGAACCATTTCTTTTCACTGGAGCTCTACAAAAGAGAATTTTAGACATTGGTGAGTATGGAATTATGATTATTGATCTGATATGTATGTTTGTTGAAGAGAAATGTTATTTGAAGATATGGCCAAACTCTTCTAGATAAGGCTCTAGAAATATTCTGAGATTTCCTGAGAATTATAGAATGAAGTATTTTAGTTTAAAAATAATTACTTCAACCTTTTGTTTTGGGGATAGATGATAGAAGTTAATAATTTTTTAAATGCTGTATTTATAAATTATAGGAATACATAATAAGAAACAATCCCCTTTTCCTTGTATCAATCCGAAATTTAATTCCACTCTTACCATAGAAGAAAACTGAGCTAGAATATTAAGATTTTTCTCTTGGTACAGGGTGGTCTTTAGTTGACTGCAGTGAATTTAAGAAAATGGAAGAGAATGTACTCTTATTTGGAGCCAAATTTCAATACCATGTGAAAGACTATAATATATAATATTTAATGTAATGAGAAACAGATTATAGATTTTATATGAATTATACCATATTTGGTCTGCTTCATAATAAATGAATGTTTTAGCTGTGATATATTGGACACTTTTATTTTGTAATTTAAATAAGACCATGTTATTTTTTGTGAGCAACTATAATTAACAATAGTTTTTCCTGGTACAGTTTTTGTCGGTTAGACACAAGCTAGGTTATCTGGGAAGAGGAGCCTCTATTGAGAAAATGCTGTCATCAGTTGACTATAATGCCTTGTTATCCAGAGCATTGGCTCAGTTCTCTTGACCTTCCAAATATATTATTCAGTTTGATTTAAATCTTCATTAAATGTTACATTTTAAATTAAATATTATTTTTGATTCTGTGTATGTGGGGGTGCCTACAATGGTCAGAGGTGTAGAGTACTTCTGGAGCTTGAGTTACTGGTGATTGTGAATTTCACAATGTGCATGTTAGGAACTCTGTCTGAATCCTCTGCAAGTGCAGTATATGTTCCTAACTACTGAGCTGTCTTTTGACCCCTGGATGATCATTTTCTTAAGGTTTGAAGACATCGTAAGATAATAGCCAGCAACTCTTTCCCACATGGGACCAGGTGATTTTTGTCACTTTGTGTTTTGTGATCTGTCACAGATGTTCAACTTTCTTGTTCCAGGTGGAAAGCAAACAGGAGCAACATATGAACAGATGAGCAGGACTGTATCTTATTGGGGTTCTGGCTTCCTTTACAAAATACCATAGCCTTGAAGGTTTCAATGATACGTATTTATTGTCACAGTTCTGGAGTGGGAACGTCAGATCTGGATGCTCATCAGGATTCCTTGCCAGGGACTCCTTGGTGGTCTTTGGACAGCTCTTTTTATGTTGTGCCCTCATATGATCTACCCTTACCTTATTCCTTTTGATTAATTATACCTAAGGGCTACACATTAGTTGTCATAACTAAGTCACAAACAGAAAGAATTTCTGCATCTGTTTTGGGAGGGAAACAAACCTTCAATCCATTGATTGGATTCCTATAAAACTTTGTGCTTAGAAAGAGATGAGTTTTGACTTGTTGGCTGTAGTTTGCAGCCCTATTTGCATTAGGAGAATTGAAGAAACTATTTGTGTTTTCAGTTCTTAATGATAAAACAAACAATATAATACAAAATGTAAACTGTAAAAATTCTCTGAATTATCTAAGCTTAAAGGAAACAGCCAAGGGGTGAATGAATGTTTATTTATTTTTGGAGATGTTTTCCATTTATAATAAAATTCTTTGCTACACAGTAGTTACCAATTGAGGGCATTCCTAAAGATATAAATTACACATTTTGTGAAGGTTAGATTAAATGTCAGTATTCTTCATTTTTTTCTAATTATCTTAATTAAATTGCAGACATTCAATAAAGTCAATAGTAAACACACAAGCACTAACTAACTCTCCTTAATCAATTATGTTGGCCTTTTTAAAAAGTATTAAAAGTGGGAATTAATCTATAGTTTTTAACTTGTGCTTTAAGATTTGTTGCTTAGTGATGATAAGTTTGAACATTTGCTGTTGCATATACTCAGGAATTATTTACGCTTTTTTATTTCTAATGCTTCAAAAATATTATAGATTTTAAAAAATAAATACCAATTATTATATTTTATCTGTTTTGCTAAGAATCAAGTCCATAGCCTTCTATAGATAGTATAGATTTTTAAAGAAATTGCTTCAGCTTTATAAGTATATCGTTGTTTTCAAATTCCTCTTCCCCAAGAACTAATTTTATATGCTCATTTTGTTTAATTTAATCTTTAAATAACTTGATTTCCCATGTCATTTAATCTTGAAATAACTTCACTTTCCATGTCTACCCTATGTTTTGTTGTGATGCCTATTTATTTTTTAAGTTTGTATATGTGTGTGTGTCTGTGAGTATCTGCATGTAAATGCTGTTGCTCAGGGAGGCTGCTGGAGTTACAGGTTGTGAGTCACCATCAAGTATGTAAGGAATTGAATTCAGGTCCTGGAAGAGCAGCGTGCGGGCTCTTAGTTACCAAGCCATCTCTGCCACCCATGTTCAGTTACAATTTTAACCATTTGATTATTTTGAAAGTTTACTGTTTCTTGTATACAAGGCCCAACTAATTATTCATGTTGAGTGTTTAAAGGTAGTTGGGAATTTGTAGTGGGTTTTTCTTTTCCCTTTGTTTCAGTTTGAATTGGAAATGAGCTCAATTTTGCCAAAGTAATGAATTAGATTTTGAAGACTTAGTTTAAAATAAGTTGGATAATTTTAAATCTTCTCCCTAGTTAGTTTACTTAGACTATGTTTTAAATTAAAATTTATTTTGTAGTAATGCCAAAGTATATTTGAGTTGTAATTAAATTATGTTTTCACTGTAGTTCAACCTTTGATGAAAATATGAGTATGTATTATATGAATTAGCATATAAAAATCAAACAATATTTTTAAATTACTGTGAAGATATATATAAATGTGTTTTAAAACAACATCAGAGGCCTGGGGAAATGGCTCAGTGGATAAAACACCTGCCCTGCAAATGTAAAGACTGCATCGCTAGCATTACACACACACACAGCACCATCACCACCACAACAGCAACAAAAAGAACACACAGGAGCCTTTAAAAACATATCTGACTTAGATTCCTTACTGCCTGTCTCTTTAGGTTTGCATATCTATTGATTGCAGATCTATTGTTTTGTCTGAGAAACACTGTTTGGATACTGTTAGGACTGTTTGTAAGAGAGGTGCTGCTCTTGCTTGTCATTCTAATTCTTTTCCTCATTACAACCTGGATAAAACAAGTTGTTCTTAAAAGAAACAAGTTATTGAAATTGATGGTGAAATAATGGCTTTTGAGCATATTTCAACTTGTAATTTAATAGGTTAATTTTTGAAAACATGAGTAGTGCAAAATGTAATAGGTAACAGACAAAAAAGATACTTTTATAGACCAGGAATTAACAGATTTATAATTTAAGTTGACTGAAATGAATGTCATGAATTGTTAACAGTGTCAAACACGGTAAAATGTGACTTTCCATTTTTCTAATTACTAAAATTAACAGAATATAACACTAATTTCTGCAGTTACCATTTTCCTCCCTGAACACTAAACTTGATTTGTGTTCTTATTAACTTTGTCCTATAAATGACCTTGCAGGGAGAATGATTCTAGAGGCTAAGGGAAACAATGTCTATATTTTCTGAGGCTCCAGGCTAGGTTTTATTAATGTAATGTCTAAGATCTTTGAAGTTGTGACTTTACCAGGAAAATCATAATCTCCAAACCTTTATTCATAATGGGTATGACTTCCAGGGGGAACTGAATACCTGCTGTGCTAATTATTTCAATTATAAGCCACTACTAAAACATGTAATGGATTTTCCCTGCCTCTACAGGTAAAAAGCATGACATTACGGAACTTAACTCTGATGCTGTGAACTTGATCTCCCATGCAACACAGGAGAGATTACGAGGCCTTCTAGAGAAACTGACTACAATTGCTCAGCATCGAATGACTGTTTACAAGGTAAAGGGAATTATCAAGGAAGTGTAGACTCTTATCTCCTGAGCAATGCTGAAGGTGGATTCATGGACAAAGGTCCAGTCTTGACGTATTTTTAGAAGGAAGATTGAGACTTATATTTCCTGTTGTAGTTTCCTTGATTGACTTACTTGGATATGCTTATATAGTAAATCAAATTAAAATAGGATTTGAAGTAGTGTCTAAAGGAGGTTTTGTGTTGCATATTGGAATACGCACGTTTTGTCCGAGGCTCCTCCTCAGGACTGTGTTAGGGAGAAGCTGTGCTAGGGTAGAATATTGGTGGTGGGTGTTCTCTTTGGTGGTCTGGACTCTGCTGACAGATATATGGCTATTAGTTACGTGGTGACGATGAGTGCTCATACTACTGCCACTCATTACTGTGTTTGACTGCTGCTGTGAACGACTAAATGCAAGGATCGCCTGTCTGATGTCTAGTGTTGCTACAAAATGACCTGCTCTAACCAAGATGGAGGTACTTAGTGTGTTTGAATTGTAGTTTTTATTGCTTCGTGGCCTTTAGGGTAAGATCAGTTGTGAATTGTAGTTTCAGAGCCAGGGAAATAACTAAATGATTATGGATTTTAAGAAAAGATAATGGCATGAAAGGAACAATTCTTTTCTTTATTAAAAAATGTGGGAAAGCCGGGCGGTGGTGGCACATGCCTTTAATCCCAGCACTTGGGAGGCAGAGGCAGGCAGATCTCTGTGAGTTCGAGGCCTGCCTGGTCTACAAGAGCTAGTTCCAGGACAGGCTCCAAAACCACAGAGAAACCCTGTCTCGAAAAACCAAAAATAAAAAAATTTAAAAAAAATGTGGGAAAGCTAGATTTCCAACATGTTGGTAAATAGGTAACTTCATGAGGTTTTAAGTTTGCAGTAGGATCATTCATTGCCAGCCATACAGATGAAAAGAAATCCAGAATATCTGCTGCTGTTTCCCTAGTAAGCTAGCTGGAGGTACCATCTTACATACATTCTGCTTCATGTAGAGCTTTGGAAGATGTATAGGTGTTAAGGTCCTTACTTTCAAATTTTTTGTGAGAATTTATCAGACTGTCTTAAAAATATGGAATCAGCATCATAAAAAGCTGTGGAAAACAGTGTCAGTATTTCATTTTATGTGAGTCTAGGAATTTGTCTATTTTTGTAGGTTATCTATTATTTATGTCAGTTCAGTTGGTGGTAGTAATTGCCAATTGGTAGTAATTTTGTTTCTGATTCTTACTTGTGTCTTCCTTTTTTCCTTTGTTATTTTAGTTAATGGCTTCTCTATTTTATTAATCATTACAAAGAACCAGATACTTTTTGTTTCTCTGTTGATGGCTGAGCAAGCCTCTGATCTATGAGTAAAACAGAATATCATTAGAAATCATTTTATCATTACTATTTTTTTAAAGGCCAGTAGCATTTGGTTTTACCCTAGGTCTCTGGGCTATCTATTCTCTGGTTCTTGGTCACCCAAGCAGTGTTTGAATATGGGCTTCATCTCGTGGAGGGGTCCTTAACTCAAATCATAGAATATTCCAAATTTAAAAAGTTGTACAGACTTTAAAAGAACCCATCACTCAGTCTAACTTTTTTTTTAAAGTCCAAAAACTCTTAACTGTAGGATCCTATAAGTTAAAGAAAAATCACATACTTTCTTACTTTAAGAGGAAAGAACCAGAGCACAGTTACAACCAAAGCGAGGCCCTAGTCCATCACAATCAAAGCAAAGTCCATTAGTATAAATAGCTCAGTATGTGACACTCATGGTCTTCTGGGCTCCAAAGGCTTTCCTTTCACCAGCTCTGCCATTTACAGCATACCCAGTTTGTCCTGAAGTTTCAATCCAGCTTTTTCACACAGCTGCTGCTGTCTTTTGTTGTCATTGCATGGTCCTGGCATCTTCCATTGACTGGGGTGTCCATGGGCAGCACCTTCATCGTTGGCCTCCTGGGCTCTCTTCAGGGACTCTGCCCTTACCACATGGTATCAATAGTCTCTCTCCATTATGCCTTCAATCCTGGGTCTCCACTGCAACTGAGACTCTGCCTTTGAAGAGAATGGCTGATGGCTTCTCCTGGCATCTTGTTAGGGACTCCAGCCCTTGGTATACAGACCTTTTTACTCTATGACCTTTTCATGCCTGAATCTTACACATTGTCAGGTTTGACTGTCAGCATGAGATATACAGCCTTGGCCTACTCTGAACCACAGCTTCTAACCCCAAGGAAATTCTCCCGAGAGATTTCATTTCAGTGTGCCATTCAAAGTGCCATTCAAAACTTTGTTGTATAATCTTCAGGTAGAATCTTTCTATTGTATCAGTTACCTTGTTACTAGGATTTGGTATCCATAGAAAATGTGTAGTATTTACCCTATTTGAAAGACCTTGATCACTTAACTTAAAGATAAATACCTTCTTAATTTACTGTTATACCATTGGCTCTCAAGTTTCTTAATGCTGTGACCTTAATGCAGTTTCTTATTTTGTGGTGACCCCCAACATAAAATTACTTTTGTTGGTACTCATAACTATAATTTTTATACTGTTAGGAATTATAATGTAACTATCTGGTATGCAACCTCTGTGAAGGAGTTGTTCGACACCCCCAAGGGATCATGACTACAGATTGAGAACCATTGTGCTATATATTTACTATTTCTATTGAATTATCCTGCACCCTTTTCCTACATTCATTCTTTAGCACAGCTAGTATTGCTCTCTCAATATTGTATAGAAAGATAAAATTATCTTTTAAGAAGAAATAAAAACCACCTAATTGCATTTGAACACACTTTAAAACTTACCACTATTTTATGGACTTTAATTGTAAAAATGTATGTGTATCAAAGATTTGGTCTGGTCCTTCTGTCTCTTGAGATTTATTTTTATCTATACAATAAAAGAAATACTCCACAAACTATTAAAAAAATGAGCCACCATTATTAAAAGCAAAATTCTACCATCTTTCCTACTCTAGATATTAGTTAGTTTTGAAATTCTTTTACTTGATTAGGTATAATGTTCTAATAGGTCATAAACTGAAATTTAAATAAAAATGTAGAAGTAATCTAGTATGTAGTCTAGTAAATTTTTTTTATCCTGCTTGGTGATTTTTTTAATTTGTTTTTTTTCTTTTTTTCTTTTCTTTCTTTCTTTCTTTCTTTTTTTTTAAGACAAGATTTCTCAGTGTAGCCCTAGTTATTCTGGACTTACTCTGTAGACCAGGCTGGCCTTGAACACAGAGGTACGCTTCCACAGTGCTGGGATTAAAGATGTGTATCACCACCACCCAGCTCTGCTGAAGCTGCAGTCTGTGCTGTGGCCACGGAGAAGTTTCACTCTACCTGAAAGGTACTGTGATGGTTCCTTTAGGTGGGGTCACCTGATGGTGCTAATATCACTTGAGTCTGGATAGCTAGTGGCTTTCATACCTTTGGACATGAAGACTTTAGTTAGTTGGTTCACAGAGACAGGAAGGAACATGATAATATTGGGGTTACCTATTACTTAACAAAGGTGGAAGGGATTTAGTAGGTTAGGGAAAGATAGCTATTTACCGTAGCTAGAAGAAAAAGGAGAAATTATGCCACAGGCAGTTGTATCTGAATTGGTAAAGGAAACAGAATGAGAATGTGATATGGTTAAATTTTAGAATGCCAGTGCTTTTTAATTTAGTGTTTATTGTCCCTTGTAAATTAAATTTCTGTCTGTAAACTGTCTCCGGAGTTTCTGAACACAGAAATGGTTAAGATGAAGTATTTAGGAAACCGCTGTTATTGTGCTTAACCTCTGTACTTGGCCTATAATGTATTCCACATTTTATCTTGTATTATTTAACTTTAAAGACCATTTGGGAATTCTTGTATTAAACTTTAAGTAAAATAAGTAGCACTTACATCCTTCTTCCTTAAACCATGTAATATTCTTTTGATCTAGTTAAATGCTAACAATAAAAATTTAATTTAAAAAGAATCTTGGGCATATGAAATCTCTTAGTCTAAGCTAATTGAAGCAGTCACGAGCACGAGGATAAAGTGGAGACAGAGATGGAAGTAGTGTGGTGCTGGGTTCCCAGACAGGCACTTACTGTGAGCTCAGAGTTGAGTTGTTTTTGGCTGTAAGAGTCTCCTCAAGTGTTGACTGCTGAGATTAGTAGAGGGCAGGGTAAGTGTTGATTGTTTAAACCTTTCTGCTTCGCCCACAACAACCCTCATATGGATATTTGTATTATAGAGGGCGCTAGGTGACCATAGGTGAAGAAACTAGAAAATACTTAGATTTGAAGGCACTGTTATTGTATTTTTGCATACCCAGATAAGAGAGATAGTTTTAATTTTGACATTTTTATGGAATACTGAAGTTAAGAAAGTAGAGTTTTTTTGTTACAGTTTTCATTTGTAAATTATATGCTTTCCCACTACTTGGGAAGCTAAGGCAGGATGACTTCAAGTTCCAGGAGATCCTGGTCTGTATAGTGACAGCCTGCTTATAAATAATTAAATAAATGATAAATAAGCATATTATATACAAGACTGCCATTTTGGGGGAGGCGGGGGGAGATACAGGTTTCTCTGTGTATCTCTGGCTGTCCTGGAAGCCTCAACTGAAGTAATCTGCCTGCCTCTGCCTCCATAGTGCTGGGATTAAATCATGTGCCACCACCTCCCGGCTTGTGATTTTAATGTTCCCATTTTATGTTCTATTAGGATAGAAGGGTTTTAGTTTATTTAAATTAATATTCTAGTTAAGATTAAGCCAATCTATTTCTTTTTCTTAGCTGTCTTTTTCAGTGAGGTTTCTTGCTTTTCATCTAAGATTTAATTGCTCATGTTTATGTCAATAGATAGGAATTAATTTGACTAAGGGAGATTGAAATATAGGTAATGTTATATTCTACTGGATTCTTTTTCCTATTGATAAGATCTGTTTGACTTAATTACTTTTCCTGTCTCTTGAGTAGTAGACTTACTAAGGAAATCGTTCTGAAATGT